AACCGCGGCACTGACAGAATCCGACTGCACTTTGCTGCGCTGTGTAATTATGCGACCGTGGATGTTGATGATTTGTGTCTGCTGTGGTGAAACTAAATCGTTACGATTTCGAGCCACAAAAAGCGCATTTTAGATACTTCGCACCTGCACTCTTAACGTGTTGTTTCATGCAGGCGATATACACATGCAGACAACTCGGTGAAAAATATGACTTCAGTGCCAAGGTTGGAACTGAGATTTAAAAAAATAAAGATACTAGTCATAACGTGTTTAATAGGCCTACAAATCTTCTACTGCACATATATTCTTTATACTTAATACTGTGATCTTTTGCACATTCCTGCACAAACTGTACAACAAGAGCCATATTGTCTATTGTTGTCTTTATTCACTGATACTATATATTTTAATTTCCTATTTTCCTATTTATGCTTCTTGACTTGCAGTCCTTGTTTCCCTTGTCCTATGTTTATTGTTATGGACAAATATACCGAGGCAAACTCCTTTATACGAAAACCTACTTGACAATAAAACTTAATATGAATCTGATGGTTCTTAAATTTCAGCATCTGTGAGTGAAGAACAATTAAAATATTTAAATGATATTCCTCAAGGTCGGCAATAAAAGAAAAGCCCAAAATGAGGAATAAACAATGTCAACGCTATGACATTTAAACTGCACTTTGATCATTTTAATATAATAATATTTATACAAAGTGCGTCACACAGGACCAAAACTTCATCACAAGTAGATTTTTACAGCAGTAGTTCAAAAACATAGAAGCATATTAAGTCATCACATTTAATAAAAACAGGATGGTAACTTAGAAGTTTATTTTATTGGTCATTTTGATCGTTTGTATTTGTGAACGGACGGGTTTTTAAACGTGGCTGCCACAAGGAAATGTGGGACAGCTTTGTCTCCTTTCGTATCTAAAGGATGGTCCAGAGATTCCTCTGCTAAAGAAAATAATAAAGGGAAGCAAATAAAGGAAGCACTGAAGCTCCTTTCCTTAGCATTTAGAGAATTTACTTAAATACTTCTGGGTCCTTTCACTCAGTTAGAAACCAACAGTATCACAACTAAACAACAACAAAAATAACAATAAGGAAGCTCAAGAGCTGATCAGCCTTCTAAAACCTAAACAACTGTAAAACCACTGCTTTACTGAACAATGACATGCACATAAAAAAAAAACTCACCGTGTCCCTGAAGCCGTCATATTTGTAGACGTGTCCTGTGCTGGTGCTCAGCTTGATACCGTGACCTAAACACACTCGTCTCCACTGGGCTGCATTGAGCTCACTAGCCGGGATGCTGTCCACCTTCCCCGTCTTGCTGCTCTTATAAACCACATTCTGCTTACTGAAGCGCAGCCGCCCGTCATTCTGCAGCGACAACGGGAAGAGAAACAGACACCAAAGACGCACAGGACGAGTGTTAAAATGCTGTAATTTAAGTGTTAATAACAAAGCTGAAATGAGAAGTTCACTGATCGATAAGTCAGCTGACACAACTTTAATCGTACTGTTTCAACAATAAGGCAAAAATGTCAAAAATAAAATGTTCTGGTTTTAAATGATAACATATTTTTCGGATAAAATAAGTTATTTCAACTTGTCAACTTGGACTCTGGGAAAATATAAATTATCCCCTTTTTTGTATTTTATAGACCAAAAGACTATTTAGAAATAATCTGCAGATTAATTGATACTAATTGAAATAGGTTAATAAGGATAACTTCCTAACATTAACGATTTTGCATGATTTCCCCACTTAAAATATAAAACAAAATTTTGCCCCAAAGCTGATAACCATAAATAAACGTTTAGATTCAGTGTGGAGGTGTCTGTAGAAACACAAAGCAATTACCTCAACCACCTTGTTCTAGATAATCAATTTAATATCAGGAGGCACTGATATATTCTCCAACACTACCAATCATCTAGTACAAGCCTCAGCAAATACAAAGAAGGTTTTATATGGTTGTTTTTTTAAATTCAGTTCAATTGTATTTGTATAGTGCCGAATCAAAACCGAAGGACACTTTTAAAATAGAAAAAAAAAAGGATTTTTAAATGTAACAACTTTTAATGTTTTCCTAATTTCACAACTACATTCAGGAACATATACCCATATGTACTTTATGTATTTGGATTAAAAGGTATTGCAGGTATCAGTCTGTTTATTTATATTATTCTGAACTGTGTTTCCAATATCTATAAATCTAGTATATCTCCTTTCTGTACAGTTTATAGAGCTACAGAGAGGTGGCTGATGAAGATTACTGACCCAGGAGCCTTTGACCTCCTGGTAAATCTCATTGAACTCCAGTGTGTCCCCCATCTCAGCTACAGGCGATGACTGATGCTCTGCAGACAGACAGACAGACAGACAGAAGAAATTGTGTTAGATAGATCCAAACACACAGAGATGGCTTATATAAAACATATATTTAAGTTAAACTGTGTGTTAAGTGTGGCCATGAGGGTTTCCATGTCTACCTAGAAACAGTTGAATGCAGATGAAAACATGATGGTCATCAGACAGGGATTAACGTGCCAACCTGTGATGGTGTAAATATTAAAATGTTTTTTTATGTCAACCTTTCTTGGAGGGGGGTGTTTATTGTGATATTCACATTACCGACTGAGGCTAACCCCGTCGCTCTCACAGGTTAACCAACCGAGCGGAGCCAGCTAACAGTTCACGGTGTTAGCCGGTGAATCTCTAAAGAGACGTTTAACGTTCATTTCAACCGTTACTTCCTCCGGTTAAACGTCCGTTGGTGGCGGTTAGGTCGCTCTGCCTCTGAACATTAACGGTAACTTACAACCATGTTGCGCCACCAACAATAGCTAGGCTAACTTGAATCTGCACGGGGTGCGCTTCTTTTATTGACCGACGATGCTCGGAGCGTGAAATACGCGTCGTGCTTACAGCACCGCCCGCGTAGACAAGCAGCTTACAACAAATCGAGCGCTCCAGCAGCACTAGGCCGGTGTAAAGAAATGAAGTGATGATTCAGAGGCAATTTTACAAACGGAAACGGCTCCAAATTAAACATGTTAGTAATATATACTGCTTGGTTACTTACAAACATCCCAAAAACGAGTTTCTGGACGAGCGATAGAATAAAACGTGATAAAACTTCATGTCTTACTGTCAATGTGATGAGCAGCTTCGCCTGTTTCCCGCGTGTAGCATCGGGAGCTAGCCCTACGTCACAGGAAACACTCAGGGGGTGTTTGTATTTTACTTCCGGTTTGGCGAAGAGTTTTTTTTTTTTTTTTTTTTTTTCTCTTTTAATCATTAAATAGAAAACATTAAACAATCTAAAGTGTTTTAGATGCAGATGTTTGTGTGTTACTTGAACTGTCGAGTTGCTCATGGAAAACAGACCGGCAGAGCAGACTGCAGTGACCCCTCATCACCACTGGGTGGCGCACAACACATCTGATGAAATAGGCCTATATATTAATATTATACAATATATTATTCTATTTTACTCTATTCTTTCCTAGTCTTTTCTATTATAATGTCAGAGTTGTAATATTAAAAAGAACACAGAGTGCAACAGTGCAGGTGAAAGTATATCTGTAGTGGTTTATTGATAAGAGTGAAAGGTGGATACTACGTCAATTAAAATCTTTATACAGTCTATGGTCTAAATTGTGATTTAGATTTTTGCATGATACAGAAAAGAATTAATGAGGCACGACATAAGATAAAACTCAACTCAAACTAAGAGCCGTGGGGCAAAAATGAACAGTGTGGCCCCTGATAAACCCCTCTGTTCCTTCCACTCTCTGAGCATTGTGTATAGTTTTTCTACATAGTGCTGGATTCACAGAGTAGCCTATAATTTGATTAAATTAATTAATTCAACAGTAAAGCACAAAACAATACCAAAAAAACCAACAAAAAACCAAATAGAACAGGGTCTCAATATATTAAAACTAATTTCAGGTTCTTATCATGTCAGGTGATATTATTATTTAGTGGCGTGTATACTGCCACAAAACCAGTTGACACACAGTAACCCTGGAGCCTGTGGGGCCCCTAAGAGTGCTGAGGCCCCCAGGAGGGTTTCAATCTGAGAGCGACACAAACCGGTCGGGCTATCCGAGTGATTATGGAAGAATTTACCAAGAGGCCCTGACTCCCGTGGGAGCGACAGGGATTTGTTTTTATTTAAACCATTAAACGTACAGATCCAGGACCACCTGGTGATGCGTGCACCTGAGACTCTCTTCCCTCGTGCACGCGCATCAAACCTGCGCGCGCCCCGGTGTGTGCTGCTGTGATATGCTGAGTGACAGCAGGAGGTGAGAGAATAAGATCACCATAATCCCACTGTCAATAAAACCTAAAACCTGAGGAATGAAGGGCAGAGGAAAGAAACTCGGAGCAGCGGGTAAACACTTGTCTTCATCCTCAGAAACAGACTGAATATTCCCTCAGCGAGGGTCCTTTGATAACTTGTGTGGCGACTGAGAGGCCTGTAAATTCATAGTAAATTATTTCTCTCGAAATATCCTCATTTAAGGCCTCTAAATTAAATCATATAGCCTATTCGACTTAATGCGATATCTTGTTATTAATCTATTTTTGTCCATCCTAATAGTTCCTGATAGATATTTGAAAGTTTTAAATAGGCTAATTAGTAAGGCTATTTAAACACTAATTTGGGGCCTATACTTTTGCGTAAAGAAGGCGAGGGCGGAAATTATCGCTCATAATTGTCAATTGAATAATTTGAATAATAAAAGCTAAATTAAAAAGAAAATCTACATAAAAAGAAAAGCAGGTTAACACTTGTGAGAAAGTTGGACCGACAGAGTGATAAAGTAGAGAGAAAGAACATTTTCTGCTTTGCGAGGGTCGCAGGGTTGCCGTGTCCTCCTGGCCCGCAGTGAACTGATCCAGCCGGACTCACACCTTATTAAAGGTCGGCAGATTAAAGATCAAACAGCGGCAGTCGGATCGCGTTCAGGAGGATGACGACGGGAGAGAGACAGAAATGAGTTGTGACAAGTCCCGTGGTTCAGCGGCTCGGGCTCTGATGCGTCAACCCGGTGAATCACCAGCAGCACCGAGGAGGAGGACAACGAAAGAAGGAGAGACAGGGATGGAAAGGAGGGGAGGAAAAAAAAGGAGAAAAGGGTAGAAAGAGAGGAGGAGGAGGAGGAGGAGGTACAAAAAGGCTCCGCCGTCATTCAGTCTGTCACACAGACCACACACACCAAGTCAGCGGACCGTCAATATTTAAGCTCCATCCTGTGACTATCTCCTCTCCAGTGTAACATCTTTAATATGATCAATACATCCGTTTATAGGATCGACTCGACATCACCTGCGTTTTCTCCTTCATCCTCTCCAGAGTTGTCTGAGTGAGGAGGGCAGATTTAATTGAGTCGACACATGCTGAAAAGTTTTTATTTTTTTGCGAACTAATCTTCCAGAGGAGAGGAAACATCTTTATCGGGTTATTTCTGCTGAAATCTGCCAGTGGATGAACTTCTGAGAGCGCAGTGAACGGAATAAAGGGATTTGGAGAAAATGAAAAGGTGTTGCGGAGGTAAGTTCTTTAATTTAATACTATTTATGGAAGTTTTAAAAAAACATAAAAACAGCCAGCAACAGTCTTCCTGTCCTGCTTTGATAATTGTACTTTTATTATTTAGTTGTAATGTTCCTGTCGTTCGTCATTATGAAGATTTAATTTCTATCTATTTTTGCCTACTTTCTAAACTTTATCCTGTCTTGTGGTTTAATTGCGCATAAAAATTGGAGCCAAAACTAAAGAATCTAATTAAAAACTTTATATTCTATTCAAATTCTTGAAACTTTAACCCTGGAAAGAAACTAAAACTGTTAATTTTTTTTTTATTTATTTAATTTCTTCTGCAAATTAGTTGAAAGGTGGTTATAAATCATTTCTTCACATTAAATAATTTATAATGAATAAACAGATAATCAACCTCAAAGGTTATCAAGAAAATAAAAGACACAGGAAGAAAATTACATATCGAACAGGCTCGTGAGGGGAATGTGAGATTAACAGACCACAAAAAGAGAGAGAGGGAGTGAAAAGACTGAAAGAAAATGTGTGTGTGTGTGTGTGTGTGTGTATAAAAGGGGGGGGGTTCTTATTCACAGTAAAAAATGACAGGGGTTGAGGGGGTCAGAGGCAGCTAAAGCCCCTGTCTAGTTAGCTGTCACTGATATGAGAAAGTACATGATTCACGTTAGTCAGGGTGTGAGAGGACACACACACGCACACACACACACACACGGACACATGCACGCACGCACACACACACACACACACACTTTTCCCCCTGGGAAGACTGGTGCGGCTGCTGCTCCGTGTCTAGGAAAGGAAGGAAAAGGAGGTGAAAGAAAGAGGGAAAGACTGAAGGATGTGTGATGAAATGATGCTCTAGACAAAAGATCACCAAGTTCCTCTCCTTCTCTGTCTGTCTCTCTGTCTCTCTCTTTCTCCCTCCCTCCCTCCTCCTGCCATCCTCCCTCGCTCCCCTCGTCCCGTCAAGGTGGTCACTTCATGTGAACCAGCCGGCCGACAGCAAATTTGGTGTAACTATAGAAGGACAATAAATAGAGAGCTGAGAGCAGAACAGACTGTTTCTTCCTGTGATACTCAAAATAACAGAAAACTTGGTTGTTGAAGAACATGCTGACTTTGACACACACACACACACACACACACACACACGCACACACACACACACACACACACACACCTCCCCAGGTAGACACAGAAACCTTTTCAATACATATACCCATCCCTCTCTTTCTTACACACACATTTACAAACACACACAGATGCAGACACACACACACACACACACATATAATACCACCGCAAACACACACACACACACAGATGCAGACACACGCCACACACACACACACACACACACACACACACACACACACACACACACACACACACACAGACAAGGCCTGTTATTGCTGGGAGGGTTGAATTAGTGTCGGTGTGTTACAGATAAAAGTGTTAGTGTGTGTTGGACCAGCGAGCTCAAACACACCGACCGGCCAACAGGAGGAAACAAAGGAAGAGTGAAGAGAGAGAGAGAGAGAGAGAGAGAGAGAGAGAGAGAGAGAGAGATATGAAGAGAGAGCAGGGGATGTGGAAAAGAGAGGAAAAAGTGAACCTTTCACATCTTTTGATTCGCTCAGCACCATCCTCAATTCTTCACAGTATATATATATATATGGATGTCAGAAGGATGTGTGGTGGTGAAGGGGGTGAGGTGGGTGGGGGTGTGTGTTGGGAGCGAGAGAGAGTAAAGAGAGGTAGATAAAAGTAAATAGAGAGAGTGAGAGAGGGAGGGAGAAGCAGAGAGGAACTGGCGGTAGAGGGGTTAATGCAGTGCAGATTCCCGATTGACAGAAGTTAGCAGCACCCAGAGGGAAAGAGAGAGGAGAGAGAAGGGGGGAATGATATAAAATGAGTCGGTCACGCTTTGAACAGTTACACATGCTGTTTACATTTTTCCCAAATTAACATGGCCCCTCGCTTCAGAAAACTCTCCCTCACCGGCTCCCTCTCTCTCCCCTCCACCAACTCCTTTTCCTCTCCCTCCTTCCTTGCAAATCCTCTCTTCTTCCTCCTCCTCCTCCTCCTCCTCCCCTCTGTCCCTATCCTTCAAGACCCTAAAATATCTTTCCTCACTCTCAGATCCAGATTCAGATCCATTACTGAAGTAACCGTAGTAATACCACTATATAGAGGATACTCTTTAAAGTGTTAAAATCATCATCTAAATGCCCTTGAAGCATTTTAATGTTGTGGCAGGTCGGCTAATTTAAAGTTTTTATGTACTTTTACATATTTAAATAGCTGTATAACGATGTATCATATATTTTAAAAGCTCATTTTAGATTTATAAAATCTTTATCTGCAAAGTAACTACAGTTCGTAGAAAAACTGTAGTAGAGTGAAAAGTGCAATATTTACCTCTGAAATGTAGTAGAACTGAAGTACAAACTCGCATATATTTAAATACTCAAATAGATTGATAACTTAATTCGCTCACGCACAGTAACAGTAACAAGAGATACGGTCAGACAGCTCACAGTAGACAACAAACACATACTGCCACAACAACACAACACAAACTAACACATACTGTATTCCTCATTACATTAGTGGAGCTCAGAAGGCAATTAATGAACACACAATACATTAATACAATCAATCAATTTAAAGGGGCAAACAATTAGATATAAATGTTCTTTCGGATGTTATGTCATAAAATTACAGCTTTTCTAAATCACAATTTCCTAAAGTCCAAGGTGACTCCTTCAAAACACCACGAGCAAAAAGTCCAAAAACCCAAATATATTCTGTTTACTATCAAATAAGAGAAAGACGCAGCAGCAAATTCTCACATTTGAGAAACTGGAGAATATTTTAAATGTTTCCTTGAAATTTTCTTCCTTAAGAATAGTTTTACTATTAACTGACTAAATTGTTGCAGTGGCTCAAAAGTACAACACATTACACTCTGTTACTTTCCATCACTGCTTTCCTACTTTCCTCTTAAAGCAGAACATTCAGCAGCGGGTTCTTGTCTGATTCTCTTTTTAGGTATTTTTTTTAAAGAGAAAACAATGAGGTGGAGATTTGGAGTAGCCGGGAGAGGAGGAGGGGGGTGGGGGTGTTAAGAGGTAAATTAAAAACCGAAGGTCTGAAAAAGGCGAACGAGGGGATGAAAGATGTTGACGGAAGGAAGGAGTGGAGCCAATTAGTGAAAGGAAGAGAGGGTAACGGTAATTAGGGAGAGAAAGGAAGGAGACTTTAGAAGTTTAAAAGTTTGATGTTTCAGGAAGATTTAGGGAGAGGGGGGGACAGATGAAGCGACAAAGAAATTGAAACCAAACATGGCGATAAAGCATGGAGCGACTGGAATCCACAGATTTAAAAAAAGAGACACAGATAGATTGGCTTATAAGGTGAAGAGGGAGACGGACAACGGGGGTAAGAAGGGGAACAGAGGATGTCGAGTTTACGACCAGCGAGAAATAGTTGCATGGAGACTTTCTGGGCATAAACATAATTTTATTGGATTTTCTTTTTATATGTGTGTTTTCTTTCGCCTTTGTTTTTTGGGTCATTGATGTTGTTTGGCAACTCCGGTGTGTGTCCAGTGCCAAGAGGATCAATTTGAAATTCAGTATGAACAAACTCCAGAGGAAGGAATCTCATGGGAGAAGTGATGGGAAAAGTGTGTGTGTTTGTGTGCTTGAATACACAATGGTTTGTTTATATGTATTTATTCAGTGTAACGTCTGTGCATACATGGATCTATGCTCCAGTGCACAATCTGGATTCATATGTGTGCACGTTGGTGTGTGTGTGTGTGTGTGTGTGTGCGTGGGTGCGTGTGTGCATGTTTGTGTGTGTTGAGTTAGGGAAGGAATGCATATTTGATTGAGTACAGACTGCACATAAATCTGGCCTTTAAGTGTACACAGACACACAACACCGACCCTGACCCCAGACTGTCAACCCCCCCCACCTCCACTCACCTCGCCGGCAGTCCAACGCGTGTCCACCTCCACTGTGGCTCCATCAGTCTGTTTGCATGTTTTTTGCCCCCAGCGTCCTCCACAGGTGTGTTTATGTTTAGGGTAAGTGTTATGACAGAAGGCAAAATTGCCACCAGGTACAGTGCAGCAGAATAATAAAAAAACTATGCAAGAGACAAACAACTCCTCTGGGTTTGGCTCCGATGGGTCTTTTCTGTCAACAAAGCCACAGTGAGCCTCCAGCTCTGACTCTGACACGTCAGCGGGATGACAACAAATATGCAAGACAAGTCAGAGGATGGAAGCACATTCTGAGAAAGAAATGTGACACCTGTGAAGTAAAACAAAAGTGGTCTCAGATACCAAATTTAAAAGTAACTCAATATAACCACTAACCAAAGTAATCACATTTAGTGGCCATACTGTAATTTAGTAATAATGAATGATGAACTGACCTGAAGTGTGTTGAGAATCATTGTTGACTTTGGCAACATATTTGTGAGCCAATATTATAAACTCTTACTAACTGTTTCTGGAGATTTCAAACATATACTGCAGACTTCTTCACTGAATGGAAATTTCATCAGGAGTCATGCGTGCAGAACTTTGGTTGGTTCAGCGAAGAAGACTGTGGGATACGAATGAGAGTTTACGCTGCATTCACACAAATGTCGGAATAATGGGAAGTTTTTCTTTCTTCTTCTTCCCAACTTGTGACTGAACACTCATTATTCCAAAGTGGTTAACCCCACTGATAGCCCTGTATGACCTAAGTAGTTAATAAATGAAATCCTACTGTTTTAAAGTGCATAGCTCATTTTAATCTAAATAAACTGAATCTATTCTTTTAGTGTTAATATTGGATTTTATTTAGATGTCACCACCAGTGATGGACGATTTGCAGCCGTTTCCCAACCATTTGTGGACAGTTTCAGCTGTCAGACAATTCTTTATGTCTCTGACTTACAATTACAACTAGGAGACTAACAAGAACCTTTTTTGCTGACTGTGCTGTTGTAAATCACATTCTGAATGATATGACTTCAACCTGGCATTAGAACGTTTTATCACAGAAGCTTTTTATTTTTTACAATGCACATGTGGCAGTTTGGAAATGATCTCATATTATGAACTGAACTGAGGCTCTATGTTCCCAGATCTTCAGTATGTCCAGATTGTAATTAGATTCATTTCACATTAAAATATTTTACATTAAAAACAATTCAGGTAAATCAGATGTATAAGTATTTATATGATATAGATGTGTCTGCAGACTCTCAGATTGGATTGAAATCTGCCTTTTAAGTCACTCTAAACATGATATATAACATCTCACATCATTTTTGTCCCTAATGTTGTCTAATATTGTCCTCCAGTGCAGCAGAGGAGCTCTGCACAGTGGCTAGATAACACTGAAGTGTGACGAGTGAGAGGACATAGCCTGCAGCATGTTGTTTTGGTTCTGGGAAACACTTTTTTTCCCCCAAATCAGGCGGCATGTTTTGATTAAATACTTAAATCTTGTCAAAGTTTTACGATGTGTGCTCCCCAAAAATATAGCATGACAATATACTGCAGTCATCCTAATCAAAGTCGCACTGGAAATGATAAACATCTAATTTGGACTGGATTCTCAACATCTACATACTGATGTTTCCTCTCTGTTTAAGACCTCTTTCAAGTGGTTAGAGCAATGGAGGGCAACCTCTTCTGGCACTTGAGCTAGTTTTTCCTGGACCAGACTGGAGAGATTAACTTGCACATGGTTTTCCCACAATACCAAATTCTGTTTAAGTGCTTGTTTAAAACCTCAAATGGTGGTGCATGTTGGGAAAGATGAAATACTAGTCCTCTCGGATGGAAGCGGTACAACACCCACAAACACTGGGTCACTGGTTTACCAAAACATCGTCTGGAGTGTAAAATGTCAAGTGTGTTACGAGGCCCTTCTCGGCCCTGAACACAACCTTGCACCCCAAAATTCAACTGTGAACCCTGACCCTGCGCTGATGTCTAATTCGGACCTGTTTGGAGCTCAGGAGCTCCGGCGCCTGATCCTCATGTTCAGCTCTGTATTGCAGATGGCAGCCAGACTCCCGAGTGCCAGATCTGACTTTACATCAGCGAACAAACGGTAGATAAAAAATACGATCTGTTGTGAGTAATGGAGCTCCCCTGTGTGCGCGTATGCGTAACCCTAATAGGTACGTGTGCCAAAATGTGTAGAGTCACACACACATAAGTGCACAGAGGCGGGTCACGGTCGGCCGTTGTAGGGAACCCCTGTGTTGCTGTAATGCAATCCTCTCGCGGAGAATGTTCTGGTTTCAACCCTGCCCTGCGGAGTGTGCTTCCACTGCCAGGTACACAGACACAGCCCCAAGCCTGCAGGGCTCCCCTTGAAGTCGGGCTATATGCCGACTATAGTCTAGTTACTCAATATAATATAACAACAACATGGCTCTGGGTTTGAATTATCTCAGTTTACTCGTACAAAAGAGTGGTTGTTTTAAGCCACAGCGCAGGATGCTTTTAGACATGTCAGTGCTCAATCAAAACAACAAGAGACTTTCACGTCTGGTAATCATCTCCGAGCATGTGGCTGAAGACAAAAGCAAACGGTTTGGAACAGTTTGGGTTGATTTATGCCAAGGAGAATTTTCTTTCTCCTTCTTCTCCTCTTTTTTTGGGTACCTGTTTATTCCTTCTCAATGCGACCCTTTTTGCACACTGTGTGTCCTTTTCCTTCAGGGCTGTTGAACTCTGAGAGTCAACGATTTCGTGTTGATTTTGGGGTGTTTTGATGCTAATGGCGGGAGGAGACCGTAGCTTGATGAGCTCCAAATGTTCAGGCGTTGCTGAAAGATGCTTATTGCTTCTGACAGGTGATGAGGCTTTTGCGGTTGAGGGGATGGGAGAAGGCTTGGCTGACGGGGGCCGTCTTAGTTGATTGATTTCAAGGTGTGTGTGGGAGCATGTGGGAGTTAACCGGGCTCAACCACAGTGTTTTTGAAAATAGTCCGGAAGGATGCTTTGATGTAGCCGACAACTCAGGGTCAACAGGTAGTGGAAAAGTTACCAGCGATGAATGAGGCAGTTTTTTTCTTTTTCTTTTAAATCAAGCGGCTGGGGAGTTGTTTTCTCCATGTCACTCCATGACAAGCATTTCTAATCCTATTTTAATTTGAAACTGCCAGTTTCCCAATCTGTCATTCAAGCTGTCATTACTACTGATGTAATTTGTTGAATACAACTTGTTTTCAGTGAGCTCAAGCGTGTTAGACGGGTTTGGAAGCAGAATACGTTACTTTAAAAATGTATGTCATCATTGTAATTTGTAACATAATCAAATAGATTAATTTTACTTGTCAGTGTATTCTGATGGGTTGTTTCATTACTACTTAGACGGCACACTACACAAAAATAAAAAACAACAAATTTCTCTTAATTTCTCTACCAGATGTGACCCAGAATTTCTTGCTCTTCTGCAACTATAACACATTCTTGTTTTACGTATCACAGCAGCCAATACATAACATCATTAAGTTTCTACCCAACCCTGTTTGGGAGTGCATACCGACACGTCAAACGTAAGCGGTTGAGTCAGAGGAAAAAGGTGTTGACTGTTTTAGGTTAGAACTTGTTTTCTTAGAACCACTGAAAAAGTGTTGAAGGTAAATGTTTTGTGTTCACTTAAAATCTCTTTGTCATCCTGTGGGGCCCCCGTCATGATGTATAGATGAAAGAAAAAGAAAAAAGGGGCAATAGAGGGAGTGTAGGAGAGCTAATCAGGGTTAATTGGCTGCTGTTATTTTGACCCCGGGCAGAAAAGAGATAAGCACGCCGAGAGAAGAAAGGGAAGAAAGGTGGGGAGGTGAAAAAGGTATGATGAGAAAGAAAGGAAGGTTTGCGGTGTGACTAGTTTAAGAGGATATAAATCGGTGAAGCAACGGGGTGAGTCAGAGGCAGACAGAGTGGGCTAACGAGAGAAAGGTGACAGGGTCACACAAATTGTGCAATACATATTTCACACCTGTTGAACAGCAGCATGTTTTGCCCATAATTTCAAGCATGAATCATTGCCTACTGTCTGAATGTCAGGAGGATGAGAGAGCACAGGGAGGATGGAAAAGGATGACAGAGAGCAGAGACGATGAAAGAAATGTGTGTCGCGCTCGAGCGAAAGGGCCGAGGAAGTGTTGAGAGAGAGTGTGAAAGTGAGAGCGTCCAGAGACAGCAAGCATGGGGATGAAGAGGAGTGGACGTACATGGAGTTCCTTAACCATCTTTCAGCTCCAATTTTCTCAGTTTGAAACCAGAGACTAAAAGGTTCCCAGTGTTACAACCCCCCCCCAAAAAAAAAAACACACACACACACTCAAAATGAGTGTATACACTCACAGAATTGTGAATTTAATCCACATATATAATTACGGCTACAAACATTCTCACAAACACTCACACAGTTACATGAAACACCCACACAAACCCTCGGAAACCTAAACAAGTCCACAGCAAAGATACAACTGATACAAACACATTAATGTTTGTGATTGTAAAGAAAGCCACATGTCTTTGTTTTGGGGATATCAGTCAGGAATGAACATATGTATGTGTGTCTATGTGTGCGTGTGGTGCATTGAACATAGAAGCCATTTATCTGACTGTCTGAAGCCATTAAGAGAGGTTTTATTTGAAGCCAGAGTAAACCTCCGACAGCCAGAAACCTCTAAAATTAGATTGGAAACGGAAAAAGCTTTATTGGCAGTGTCAGATGACTCTGACCTGGCAATATGTAAACAGATGAGGCCATCGCCATAGAGACAAAGAAATAAACCAGAATAATTGTAAAAAATCCTATAAACAGAGTGATGGTGCAGCGCCTGGACACTGTTGCTGGATGTGATTTTTGTCTGTTGAGCTCTCAAATCATCAAATTTATTAAAAACCAACTATCCAAGTTAAATAATCGCGAAATGTCTGAGAAAATAATGTTTGAGATAAGTTTCACCTCATTGTTATGATTACAAATACCTCTGCAGTGTGTGTTAATTAGCACTTGGACACCCATGGTGTGTGTCACTAAAGAAACATCTCACACTGTCTGTCTGAGCTTTAATCAGTCATTCATTTTTTAATTTCTCCACAGTCCATCAACCCCAGCTTGTCTTGCTATTGGCTGCTGCCATGGCAACGGCCCTGGATTCCTCACACACGCTGGCCAGTGAGAGGAGTTCGATAGAAAGCACATACGAGCTGACCAAATACCTGGAGTATCAGCTCAAGGAAATCAAAGACATATATGTGAGTAATTTTTATGTGATAGGAACTTATTTGATCAAAGCCGACAATGAACCACTTTTGCATATATATTCACTTTGTGAGTAATAGCTAATCTCTGAAGGAACTTAATCACAATCTGAAACACTGCCACAAAGGTTTTCATTAAAGTGGCTGTAATTAATACTTTTAAAATAAGAATGTATTAATGACAAATGTTGAAAACAATTTAACAGTGTTAAAGGGTCGCTCATAGTGATGAACCTATTGTACTGATATTATCACCTGAATCTGCAGCTCTTCTTGGCTTTACTGAGCTTTATAGTGAGTTTCAGCTCATTGTTTAGCTTTCTGTGCTGCAGCAGGTCTCTGTTTTCAGTGTAAAACCTCTAAAATCCTACCTGCTCAACACCAAACTGCAGGCAGACACAGTTAGAGACTAGCTGGTGAACATCATTTAGCAGATAAACAGCCTGATATTTCCCTTAGGATCCGATAGAGGTAAAAAAAAACAGTAAATATATATAGACTTTTATTCATCAGGTGGCCAGAAAAACACGTCTCCAAAAGACTGTTTGCTAAGAAGTTCACCATACAAACTGTCTCCATTATCCCAAAAAAAGTTACCTAAATAAATAAAGAATCAGCTATTGCAGGTTTAAGCAACTAGTTTGACATTTTGAGAAATACCCTTATGCAACCAGACTATTTTGAAAGAGAAAACAAAGCCAAACTGCAAAATCACTGTTACTGTGAACATCCGCCCAGTGTAGAGGTTGACTTCCCAGTTCAACTTTGACCTACTCTACTTGTCTACTCCTGTGTATTGAGGGATTATTGCAGACATGACAGCAGCACCTACTTTCAGTTTAACCTCAAAATAAAGTGGTTTAGATTTAAGAGGCTTAACTGATGTCTGATCATCTATTCACTTGTGTTTCGTGGCCTGAAGAACTGAACCGTGAAGCTGTAAATGTTATTAAGAATGATGGCCCAAACTATGAAGACAAGTAATAAACCAGAATCCATTAAACTTTCTCATCCTTTCTTCATCTTTGTATATCTCCTCCAGCTGACCTATCTGGGTCCTCCATTCAACGAGAAAGACTTCTCCCCTCCACGACCCAACAGTACAGCTCTGTCCCTGCCCAGTGCCGCCACCCGCCTGGAGCTGTGGCACAGCCTGGAGAATCAAGCTCGGCTCGCCCAGAACCAGAAGGCCTACTCTGTCCTGCTGGCAGCCGTCAGAGAGTTAGCCCGCTCCACCCTCTGCCCCTCCCTCAAGATCTCCCTGCTGCACTTTTGCACAGGCCTGGATGGGCTGCTGGGCTCCATATCTGCACTGATGACCACACTCGGTTCTGCACTTCCTCCTCCATCTACAGACATTGGAAGTTACGCTGGAGAACTGCAGTACCCCCAAAGGGGGGCAGGGGGCGATAGACCAGCTCCACTGATGAGCCAGAGCCTTTACAGGTCCAGAGCCGGGACCAGGGCCGAGTCCGGTCAACGTAACAGTCAAAGAAGAAGCGGGACGAGGGTGGTCACTGGGGAGAGCGACGACAGTGTCACCTCAGACCGGGTGGAAAAAAGGAGAGGGAAAGAGGGGAGGAGAGCAGAGGCGACAGCAGCTGGAGGAAGGAGTGGTGGATCAAGGGAGAAGGGAAGAGGAGAAAGAGGGAGGAGAGGGAGGAGGGAAGAGCCCGAGAGCGGGAAATGGACTGTCGGCAAAGACGAGAGTAGAGTAGGAGAGGAGGAAGAGGAGGCACTGGAGCAAGAGGGAGGGGTGGAGAGATGGGGGACAAGGAGAAGGTTGTTGAGCATCAATGAGGATGGAGAGGAGGAGGAGATGCAACCTGAATCCAGGGTAGTAGTGTCGTATCCGGGCACAAAAGGCTCCACCTCCCTTCGACAACCGACTCTCCAAACCAACAACATCAACCAGTACAGCTACAACCTGAACTCACGTCACCCTGACACATTCAGAAAGGAAGATGGGTTTATTGTAGAAACAGGCAGGGGGTTAACGGTGGAGGAGGAGAAGCAAACCGACATGGAAGCTACCTCCTCTTCCTCCACTTTCCATCATCAACGTCGGCCTCCTCGCTCCCTCCTCTCCCCCACCCTCCAACCTCCTCTGTCCACCCTATCCCTCCTCTACCAGTTCGGTGCAGGTGAGGAGCACACCCTCCTCCCACAGCCTGTCCCTCTGTCTTTACAAAGGGGCACCTCACTCCTCTCGCCTCCTCTGACTCCGCTCCTGTCCTCCACCTCCTCGTCGTCCTCCTCACTGCTGTCGGTGCGGCCGACGATGAACGACTTCGCCAGGAAGGTGGAGGGATTTTGGATATTGCGAGAGCTGCAGAGTTGGTTGTGGCGATCGGCGAAGGACTTTAACCGCCTCAAGAAGAGACTGAGAGGCTGAGAGACTGAGACAGGAAACACGCAAGTGCAGTATATCGGTAATCTATTACTTGCACAAAGACTGAGTGGAAACAAACTGAGAGCTTTAACAGACAAAAGCACATAAACACATTCATGCTTAACACATTCATTCATACAGTACTGGAATAAGTGAATGAAGGACTTTTTGGCAGGTCACCAGAAGTGCTAATGGAATATAACACACACAAAGCCAACACATTACCAGCACTGTCACCCGCCTAATGCACATAGCAGCTCATTCAGCGAGACACACTGAGACTGGGCCTAGTTACCGGACTTCACGGCTCATAGATCAACAGAAATACCACTGTAGGTGGTTAGACACACACGCACACACATATGCACACACATAGGGGCAGACTGAGTGACAGGCAGAGAGACAGACAGACAGTGCAGCCATTGAGAGAGAACGCTGATTCAGTGACCCCTGATGTGTGAATCAGCAAACATTCATTTTCTCTAAAGGAAGAAGGGAAACTTTCTGAAAGGGTGTAAGACAAAGGGAGAGAAGGAAATGACCAGAGGGATGAAGAGGAGGAGAGGAAGAGGCAGAAAGAGGAAGACGGGAGGAGGCGTGAGTCAGGGGATGAGCACAGGAAATAACGGGCAGAGGGGTACTGCTGAGTAATCAGATGTCGGTTACCGTAACTCTACAACAGCGCTACACATACTGTCCAGACACACACACACACACACACACACACACACACACACACACACACACACACACACACACACACACTTATTGGTGATATTGGGTGCCTTAACATACCCTTCTCTTCTATTCTGCTTTTAATTCAGTGCTCATTCATTTGTACAACTTTTTAATGATTTCATTCCATAGCAAATAAATATTTAACATAATCTTTCAATGTTTTATAGTAGTAATAGTAGTCCAAACATTTGGGGAAATATACTAATTTGCTTTCTTGCTGAGAGTAAGATGAAAACATGAATTATACCACTCTCCTGTTTGTGCACTAGATATGAAGAGGGAGCCAATGGGTGGCTAGCTTGGCTTAGCATAAAGACAGGAAACAGAGAGAAACGGCTAGTCCTGGCTGTAGTCTGATCTAACCTACCTTAAGATCACTAATTAACACGCAATATCTTGTTTGTTTAATCCTGACAAAACAAAGATTTTAAAATGAGTGGATTCTTGTGCTAGGCACTTTCATTCTGTGTATGGGTTACAAAAACAGGATATAATGTTGGTGAATATGTCACCTTTGATCAGAGCCAAAATAGCTTTTATCCTCTGCCGTCAAGCTTAACTTAAAACCTAAAAATGAATCTATGGCAGCTACGTGAATAGGCTTTGTAGCTACGTCATAGCTGATGTGCAAAACGTGAACATGTTGGGGCGGTGGCGGATAGGGAGATGCCATGATATCAAATGTCACAAATAACAACCTGTGACTGTGATAGTATCTGCAGCGGGACTTCTTTCAACCCATTGCTTTGACTAATCTAGCTTCTGTCTTTATGCAAAGTTAACTGTCTTCTGTCTCCACTTCAGGGCTGCACAATTAATCGTAATATAATAAAACTTTCAAAGTGCGATATCCAAATCACAGAAGCAATTTTCTTGACAAAACCACATTATAATGAAGGTCTGTCCTACAAATCAAACAATGTTTGTTTGTTACAGACCTCAACAAATGTCACATCATCATGATTTTAATAGTTTCTTCAGTGAAAATGAAAATTGTGATGCAAAAATGATCATTCCCACTAAACGTGAACTATATGACAATCGTGGTATTTCCCATAATAACCACAATATGATTTTTCCACCATACTGTGCAGCCCTACTCCAGTTTCATATTTAACAAAAACATATGAAAGTGGTATTATTCTTTTCATCTAACTCTCAGACAGAAAGCAAATAAGCATTTAAACTACTTCAACCATCTATTCTGTGCCTTCTAAAACATGAAATCAGAGACTTTTTCCCATGGCAACTTACAGATGGCTTAATTTCTTTTTCAAAACAAATCTATTGTTATGTCTTTGCAATGTGCCTTGGATGATGTGGCTAAAGGTTATAGACCATATCTCTGTAATATTTATTGAACAAGATGTTTATTTATTTTTCTCCAGTGTGAAAATACTGTATCGTAACTCAAGAGAGAATAAATACTAGCTTTTGTACAGAGCGCTGTGTTATTGGTCATTTGGGAGCCCATTGGGAGGGGAGACAAAAAAGAAATGCATATGGGATTTTTGTTTGCAATGGTTTTAGTTTTATAGGGATGGTTTCGGGTGATTGGCACAAGGGGAGAGGAGTTTGGGGTCGGGCGTTTTCTAGAAAACAAAGGCCGGCTCACATTCACGACAAAAACCAGAGTGAGCGAGGCGGGTTATGAGAGAGTTTTTATTTGTCTGTCCTGGTGAAAATTTACGATCTCTCGTTTTTCCTTTCATCTCTCTCTTCCCACCTCCCACTGCATCGTCCCTCCTCCCACTTTTCTTTCTTTTCTCATCACACTATCTCACGAAGCTCGTCTTCCCCCAAAAAACATCCCTCTGACCTGTGACAGTGAGGGATTTACATGAGCACAAACAGGCACAGGTACAAACACACCCCTCATAATCCCACCAACCGCCCGGCTCTGTTGTTGTGTCTGTCTTTCAATGCCGCCGTTATCCCTGTCTCTGTCACTGCATCTGCCTCTTATCGTTTTTTGCACATCCCTTCTCTTCTATACCGACTCTTTTATCGCCTCCTCACCTGTTATCTTCTTTCTTTCTTGTTTGGCTTTATAGCTCTTGACTTCGCTTTTTTCCCACGTGCTCTGCAGTTCTCTGGCTCCCTCTCCTCGGCCCCAGGCCACATATTAAAGGATCAATGAGTATCTCCCTTCCATCACCTCCGAGGTACACACCTGCACACACCTGCACACACCCACCCTGACAAACACACAAATGTGGACCGTGTGATGACAAACAAGTGCACACATGAACCTTAAAAAGCAAAGTTAGCCGAGCAGGAAGTGACTTAAATGGGAGGTCGACTGTGTCAATGCTGACACATCGTCACACATGACTTTCACTAAGTGGGGGAAAGGGTTAATGCTGACAGAGACATTACACATATGTATACACACATACACACACACAAGACAGTGTGTTTTTTACATTCAGTAAGCAATGACTGAGGGGCCGCCAGTAGTCAACAAAGACAGCTTTGTACGGTCTCTGTGTGTGCGTTTATCTGTAAATGTGTGTGTGCGTATTGTTTGCCGTGTGTGGGCTTGTAAGCGCAGCACGTGTGTGAATCATTATCGCTATGTGTCAGAATTTTGTTGGAATGAGGCTTGTCATGCATAGCTATCTAACAGCCATCACTCACCGTTGTCTTTCTCTTTCTCTTTCTGTCTGTCTCTCGCTGTCAGCGAAGCAGAGACAAATTGCTGTAACTAATACGTAACAGGATAGCCAACCCAGTTTGTATGACTCAGCTGGCAAGGCCTTCGATACGAACAGATACTGTGAAGATACTGTGAGTTACAAGGTATCGACATTATTGGCTCTGCTGCTCAGACAGGCCTGTCTGTCTGATTGTCAGGCTGTGATCTAAGACTTACAGAGGAGTTGTTACGACCTACAGAGGAGTTGATGTGCCGGCCATCTTGTTGAAGAACTTTTTATTTGCTCTTGGAGAGCACGTCTCCACACTTCACCTCATTTTAGTCTTACAGAAAGATTTGGGGAAATTCCTCCGTGTCCCCCTATGGAGGTCCAGTGCTACACATCATGTTGAATGATAGTCGGATACTGACATCATTTCAGGATGTATAAAAAAAAACTTTTAGGACACTGCTCTGATTTCGCATTGTAAACCTATTAACCAGAGATATTTTTATTTCACGTCCTTTTACCAGTCAAAAAAAAGTTTAATAAAAGCTATTTTATTTATAAAAGCTATTTTATTTATACTTTTAATTTTTGTATAGTTTTCTATTTTAGTGTATGTCTAATGTATGTTTGTATGCTGCTACCGGATGCTTGAATTTCCCTCGGGATAAATAAAGTATCTATCTATCTATCTATCTATCTATCTATCTATCTATCTATCTATCTATCTATCTATCTATCTATCTATCTATCTATCTATCTATCTATCTATCTAAAACCTGGCATCTGCATTACCCACAATGCAACTCCACCGCTGACTTCAATTGGTGATTTGGGACATCAATTGAGGCAATTTATGAGACTTTAAGCAGCCTCCTCTGGCGCCTAAAAGGCTTTATACAACTGTTTTTACATTTACAGTAGAACTCCCCAAGACCTGCAAACACACTTTGATGTGTGTAAAATTGGTGGAATTTCCCCTTTAGGACTATTTATTCTGTCTAGGATTTGTATACTAATAGTAAGAATCTGGATAACCCACTACATCGACAATGGAAGTTGAATCACTTTAAGGCGTGAACTGTTATAAAATATTAGACTCTAAAAGGTCAACTATATATGGAATTGTCCAAGCATTTTGGTGAGAAACATCTAATCGTAAGCTAAATCTTTGGCATGCACAGCTAACAAACAGCTACATCTAAAGATTATGCTTTGTAGACAGTTGAAATACATTCAACAGTCAATTGAATCCATTTTGGATTCATTCAGTAACTGTGGTGTAGTGTTTTCCCAGTTGTTACAGCTCTGATTCATTCCACTCAATGGCTTCTTCTACATAGTGGTATCCAAGTATATCGCAGTAGTCCTATTTATAGCCATCCTCCATACCAAACTGACAGAGACATAACATGGTTCCTCAGAAACAAAGTTGAAACAATTAAGACTGATGTCCATAATGTAACCTATACTATCATTTATCTATATGGGAGACTTGCTTTACACATTTTTTGAGATTTCAACAAAAATATTTCTTGCCAGTGTCTGAAATGTACCAGTACCCTTTTTATTGAGTACCGCCACCTCTGGTGAGCTTGGCCATACCCACCATTGAGGTCAATAGTGAAATATTTGTCTACAAACAACTGCTTTGATGCTTTGATGCATACCCCAAAAGCCCCTCTTACAAGTTTGGTTTCTAGACCTCTGTATTTCTAAAACTCTTCATACAGCAATGATGGCGGGGTACTCATAAATAACTGCATAACTACGTCTCGTGTAAACATGTAGCTCGCTTAAAACTAAGACAACAGCAATGAAAATGTCCTTGTTTTATTTGAAATGGCAAAAGAATGAGGGGTTAGGGTCATGTTGTGTTTAGGGTTTGGGTTGTGCTGAATTGGGGTACCTTTTTTGGTCCATTTCAAGCACCCTTTCTAGCTCTTCTGCTGCCACATTCTTCATGCTCTGATACAGAGGTGAGTGAAACACCTGTTAACACTTAAGTTGTGTGATGGCTCAAGTAACAAAGAGAATCACAGAACAAAATATTTATGTTATGTAGTGAGAACGTTAAAAAAAAATCTGAATATAATATAAAGGTTAGAAAATTACCAGGGAGTTGTCTGAATGCAGTAAAAAGTACACGTTCCCCTCCTAAAACTATAAATCACCTACTGAGGTAAGGATATATCAGTCAATAGGCCATACAAAAGAGGGCTCTATTGTCTATTAAAGGCCGTCTTTCTTGATGATTTTAGCATCACACGCTGATTTCTGTGTGTGTGGTGGCATTATTGAAGCTGTCCAATAAGACCAATCTCCCCAGAACTTGTGTGTGCCTTTAAGATACACATACGCACTCGTCGAGCCGTTTCTCGGACCTCCTCTTCTTCCCCGTCTGTCTTTCTCTCTCCCATTTCCTCTTTATCCTTTTTTTTGTCACACTCTGTCTCACAATATTTTTTCCATATGTCTCTCTGCCTCCCCTCACCGTGTCCATCCTTGTGCCATCCTCTCTAACCACATGAGTCGCCATTTTGTGTCATTTTGTGTCATTCTTGCTTCATTTTCTCCCCACGTGTCCCCTTTTCCCTGCTACAATCAAACCCTTTCACGCTTTCCTCAAATTCCCTCGGCCACCCCCGCGTTCTCTCCCTCTTTTTCCATCTGTCTATCTCCTTCGCTCTTGTCTTCTGTCCGTATCCTCTTCCCTCTCCCTCCCTCTCTGTTCTGCTCACCTGCAGCACATAAAAATTCCTCTTTTCTTTCTCCAGAGGATTGTTCAGTCGCTTTGGGATTTACTGCATTCCTCTATGTTTTCTCTCCCTCTTTCTCTCCATATCTGTCTCCCCGTGTTTCTCTCCATTTTGGCAGCACTACACAGCGTTTGATTCAGCCTATCTTCTCTTTTGTCTTTTTAACACATTTATATCCCTCTTTAAGCCCATCTCTGTTTTCTTTCTCCATCCGTCCCTGTCGCTATAATAACACAAAATAATCCTATACCTGTCGTTTCCATGACCCCACCTTAATTTTTTTTTTTTACTCAGTAAGCACCCACTTTACCTGCTCCACCTGGCCTCTCCCTCCTGCTGGGTTTCTGCCATGAGTTGGAACATCCCGCCTCCACTTACTTAGCTGGAGGGCGCAGGGTTGGGCTGCGGCTTCTCACTGCCGTTTTTGGGTTGGTGGAGGTGGAGGGGCGCTCCAGGGCCTGGGGCCTGGGATGAGGTTGATTTATGAGTTAATCAATTGGTCGTCCGTGTGAGTGAGCAAAACCGCAGAGGTGTGTGAGCTCTTTCATGTCACTGTCTGTGCTTGTTGACTTAGTCCCTTAGGAAAACACCAAGAGCTGTCATTCCCCATGTTGCTCGGCTCCTCAACATGTTTTCAAAAGCAATTAGGGAGAAAATGGGGCTGGGTGTTCATTCATCTGATGGTTGAATGGCTTGTATGTGTGGCTGTTCATGTGTGGTTAGAGAAGTCTTACCTGACCATGAAAGGCAGTGTCATTACACAAGTGCACAAGGTAAATTTTGGCCTTCATAACAAACTCACAGAAACAAGCCATGATTTATTATGTCAATTTTTCAAACTCTTATAGGTAATGTGACAGCAAACAATTTTCCGACAGTACTTACACACCCAACGGACTCAGAGCAACATGCACATCCCACCAGAGTTTTCTTTCTCACCACTTGTTGAAACTTTTCAATAGCGTTTTCCTAAGAAAAATACCTTTGGCTCTTTCACTTGATTGATGATGAGACGATGTAAGATGTAAAGGAGTGGTGAC